GAGGAATGGGATTTAGGAGCTGGCGTCTGTTGTTATCTTTTTTTAAAATTCAGTTTGAGATTTTCCTGGTTCTTGATGTGTCAAGTGATTTTTGATTGAAACTTGGACATTTTTCTATTATTTTATGTGACTCTAGATCTTTTTGAAACCTTTTGTTTTAATTGACTTTGTCTGACACCTCTCTAGCAAGGGGAGCAGTGGGTGTCACCTTGTCACTCCCACATGGAGGTAGAAATTCTGGTTCTTCACTTGTCCTCTATTAACATGCTGTGTATATGTCTGAGTGTCCTTGTTACTGTTTAGTATAGGTGGAATCTCCAGCTCTCTACATGGTCTCCCTGACGTCACAGTGGGAGTGGTCTTGTTCTGGTGGGCAATGGCTTGACACCCTCTCTGTATTGGGGGAGGGGGGAGACGCCTAGTTATTGCTGAGTAGGGGTGGACGCCCAGACTTCCTACATCGTCTCCACTGATAATGTGGAAGATACTTCATTGTCAGCTGCCAGGCATAAAAGTCCTGGCTGTCTACTTAGTCTTCTCTGAAACCAGTCTAGCAGGGATGTTAGCGGTACTTGTTCAAGCCTCATGAGGGTGAAAGGCTAGTATCTCCACTCAGCCTTTGCTGGTGTAGGGGGTCACAGTTTCTTCTGTGGTGTTTGGCTGGAGTAGAGCAGTTATTGTCTAAAAGTTTTCTGTCTTGCTGATCTGCCCCTTTCCTGGTCTTGTGGCTAGAGAGAGCAGACGTTTGTTGAGGCTTTTTTGCTCTATGCCTATGAGCGTTTCTGGGTTGCTGACTTCCATGCTTGTTGGTGTTTCCAGGTTTCTGACTTCTTCTGCTGCAAGTCTTGAATATTTGAGGCAAAAAGAAAACCCAAGGATCTTACCACCACGTTGTTTCTTAGGTTCTGAAGTCCCAGGCTGGTCTTACTTTCCCTCGCCTTGCAGAGTCTTCTTATATTTATTTTATATATAACATCCAGGGTTTTCTTTTTTTTAAGTTGAATTTAGCAAAAGGAATAGGAAAAAGTAATTCTACACCATCTTCCCAGAAGCAGAAGTCCTTGCTGTTCAAGTTTTGGTTTTATTTATTCTTTTTTCTCCCAATATTATATGATGAAAGTTTAAAAAATACAGAGAAGATGAAAGAATTATACTCCCTCCCCCCATATCCACCACTTGTATTCAACACTTAACCATTTGGTATATTTTACTTTACTGAATATTTATTCATCAGTCCATCTATCTGTCCATTTGTTATTTTTGATGGACATCAGTACACTTTACCCCTAAACACTTCAGCATGCCTATCATTAATTAGACTTCACTATTTGTTTATTTTATATAAAGTGAAATGCACAAAGTCACAACTACCATTTGATGAGTTTTGTATAATCCCATCCTTATTGAGATAATTTTCATCACCCCCAGAAGTTCCCTCAAGCCTCTTCTCATTTAATTCCTACTTCCCTCTCACTCTAAGAAGAAACTACTGTTTTCATTTTTTCTTCTTCCTCTTCCTCCACTTCTTCCTCCTCTTCCTCCTCTTTCTTCTTCTCCTCCTTCCTCTTCTTCCTCTTTTTCCTCTTCTTCTTCTTGCCATAAATTCATTTTGCCTATTTTAGAACTTCCTATAAATAGAACCACACAATATGTAATCTTTTCTGTATGACTTTTTCAGCACGATATTTTTGAGCTGCATTCGTGTTGTTGTATGTATCAGTGGTTCTTTTATTATTATTATTATTATTGCTACGAGCTGTTTCATTGAGTGAATAATACTATAATTTATTCATTCTGGCCTGCTTCCAGTTCTTTGGCATTCAAAAGTTGGGGTAATATAAGTCATTGCTGTCTCCCCTCTGCTTGGAACATAGTGCAAAACAACTTAAGATTTTGTGCCTTTCTTCTGATTGATAAAATGGTAAAGGTGTACAAAGCTATGTTTTTAATACACAGAATACTCAACATTTTCCACATATTTCTTGTTGTTAGTGATAACTATCCGTTTATTTGAAGCTGAAAATTTTGTAATAGAAATCCAAAGATAACTTTAGCATTGTAAAAATAGAATTTAGCTTCTTGGCACCAAATTATATTTTGTGAAGGAGAAACCATGGTTTTAACTACACCATAACTGTAATATTCATTACTGAGAATGCCAAACTAGCCTCTGGAGGACCATGATATTTCAGGAATACTTAGAATACTCAATTTCTGCACAAAATATTGACGTGCTTGTTGCAGATGGATTCAGCTGTGTTTCACAGACCCTTATGTGTCTGGCCCCACCTATTATGTAAGTGTTTTGCTTCTTTTCTCTTTCCCCAAAATGATTTCCTAAGGGAGCTATAATGTCTGATTGATTGATTGATTTACTGATGGATACCAGGGGAGTCCTACCAACCGCGAAATGGGACAAAATAAACTTTATTTGTGATTCATTATAGTGGGCATGCTTACTGTTAACGGTCCAGGAAGAAATAGATGATGTCGTTTCCAAATTTTATGACAACCTTTTTCTGATTTTATTTTTCTTTGTACAGTTGACGGACTGGACAAAGCTTCTATAGCAAACTCAGATGGCCCCACAGCAGGTTCCCAAACACCTCCCTTCAAGAGAAAGGGGAAACTGTCCACCATTGGTAAAATCTTTAAACCTTGGAAATGGAGGAAAAAGAAGACAAGTGACAAATTTAGAGAAACCTCAGCAGGTATGAGTATCTTTGTTAGAAGATATCCTAAGGTAGAAAATTATGTTTTGCAGAGTTTCTTTTTTTTCTTCTTTTTCAGAAAGAACTTAATGTATGTTTGAAATGAAATTATTTCATTTGAGGATGAAACAGCTCAAGAGTTCTGATTTGCCCTTTTTTTTGTACTGACTTCAGCTTTCTAACATATTCTTATTTTTAAATTTATATAAAAAAACTGATGTATGAGGAGGGGCAGGTGAAATAATGAAAAATTAGAAGAGGAAATGTTATCCATCAGCACTGCGGCTGCAAGCGTCCACTTTTACGTATGCACACCGTCATGTGTATATCTATCTAGCTCTAGTAGCACGGTCTTATTTGTTAATTAAAACTTTTTTTTAAAAAATATCTTTTTTGATGTATTTGTTCTGTGAATAAGATTTAAATGGCTATATGAAAGAAAAGTGTTACC